GCGTCAATTTCTTTCTACGAGCAAAAAATCAGAATAAAAGAAAATGAAAACAAGATAAAAAAAAAAAAAAACAGTAGATAAGAACTTATCAAACGAGGGAAGATGTATGGATCTCTAATAAATACACACGTATGTGATCATTATAAGTCGACATTCTGAATGACTCTTTCCCTTATAATAACTTCAAAGAGTCCAATAACTTTTTAGAAAAGGTTTGTACAAAGAATTACTTTTCTTACAAAGACTATGACGGTTCTTTCGTTTTCAAGTATTCTAATTGAAAGTAATTTTTGTAAATATGCATAGTAGAGCTTTATAAAACCATCAAAATGATCATTGCATAGCATTGTCATCTTTCTGAAACATTGAATGAATTGTACAAGCCATAGCCATCGTTCATTTACTTATAAACATTTGTATACATTAAGAACCTGTCCAACTTCCATGCTGATATTGTTACTTTTTGCGCCTCTATCGTAGAAGAGTTACAATCTTGGAACTCGCGTATTAAAGTAATCGTGATATCAAGTGTAAGTTCATTTATATATAATTATTTAGAGCTGTACAGATCGTTCGAGATCATTTTATTCACCCAAACCAAAAATTGGTACATGGTGTACATTAATAATAATAATAATAATATAACTTTTAGGATAAACTAGCTGCAGAACTGTAAAGTTATGGTTTTATATTTTAGTCTTTGATCATAACGCTACAGATCCCGTAATGCAAATATGGTGCAATTTACGGCGCAAGATTTTCTGCGCACTTTAGGGATTTTTTTTTTCCATTTTCCAGCATTGGACAATCTACTACTTTTATTCCTTAATTCTAGACATATTCTTTTACCAACCTGTATATTTTATTCACCTCCTGGCCCTTTATAGTCGTCTCTACAGACCAATAAACTCGCTTGTTTTGAATTTTCTGCCATCCGACAAAAAATTCAAAACAAGAGAGTTTATTGGTCTGTAGAGACGACTATAAAGGGTTAGGAGGTGGATGAAATATACTGGTTGGTAATAGAATATGCCTAGAATTGGGGAATGAAAGGTATTTTGATGGTCCAGTGCTGGAAAGTGGAGAAATACATCCCAGTGCGCAGAAAATCTTGCGTCGAGAATTGCACCATATTTGCATTACGGGATCTGTAGCGTTATGGTCAAAAACTAAAATATAAAACCATAACGCTACAGTTCTGCAGCTAAGGATAAACATACATAGCTTTTTCAGGGTTTTTTTTCGTTCTGAGTTGACATTAATTCCATAAATTTAATAACATTCGGTCTATGAGAATAATAATTGTCCAGGTAACTTTTCTCTAAATTGAATAAAGTTTTACATTCTAGAATATAATGAAATTCATCCGCAGTTTTAGCATTATTACAAAGTGTACAAATTCTGTCGTAATACTATACCATCTTCAGTTTCGTCTGGTAGATGATGATTTGCAGAACGAAGTTTTAAAATAATTTTTATAATGATCAAAATTTTGGAGATAACTTATCAATATAATTTTCAAATCAAAAGTTTTGTTTAAAGAATTTGTAAGTTTGTCCTTTTGAGGAATTATTTACGTCACTAGACCACTTTCGAATAAAATGATCTTTTAATATTTGTTTCACAATCGCGGTTATCTAATTATAATTTATTTTGACACCCTGTCCGTACCATACATTTGATAAACCATATATATTACAGATTTTCTGTATGCAGTCTAACCATGGGTTTGTTAAATTTCCATCACAGTACAGTTTAAACTTATATTTGTTTAATACATGTACATTTACAATTTTAGATTTCCGGACCTGAATAAAGTTTTGGCCAATATGAAATCATTCTACAATATACCGACATCTAAAGAGGAAAACAACCCGTTCGACAATAGAGGATGTACTGACGTGGAACTTTTTGTTCCTCGCTTTCACTGCATGAAAGTGGGTGATATTAATTGGGTCTGTCTGTCCGTCCGTTTGTCTAGCTGTTTTTTCTGTCTGTGCTTAACACTTCCGATTCTGGGTGATATCGCGAGAGACCTTTGAGCTTTTGCAATGAAAATTTATAATACAAGTCCCTATGGCCTTAGGAAGACCCCTATTGATTTTGAGATCAAAAGGTAGAAGGTCTAAGTCATAAATTCATACATTCTGTCTGTGTATAACATTTTCGTTTCTGACGACATTTCTGAGCTTTTGAGGTTCTGCAATAAAGTTTTATACCACAACTCCCTATGGCCCTGCCCGCCCCTCTCAAAGTCTCCCGCCCCAATTTTTTTCTTTAATTACTATTTTGGTCAAGTAAGTCAATTGGAAATTTGTTGGCATTGATCGCGGTCTAAGTTTTAGAGTTACTCCCCGCTTGTATTAAAAGTTGCATGGCACCATTTTTAGCACAGAAGCATGTTGCGAGTTATTACATACAATACAGGTGTCGGTCGACTTTACATGGTAAATCTATTAGAACTGTTTAGTAATGGCTAAATTAGACACCATATGTGTTATGTAAAATTTTGACAATATCAAAGAACGAAAAATTGGACGTTAAAAGGACAATGAAATCTGTGATATTTCCAGAAAGCACAAGTATTTGTTATTATTATATAGATAATAAATAATCTACAATAATTTAATTTTGTTTGTATACTAGCCTCTGATTGGTTAATATCCAAAAAGGAACACAAATTATTTCTGTATAACCTGGTTTGGTATGGGGACACCCCCCCCCCCCCCTGACAACCAGCTGAATCATCTGTATCCATACAATCCTCTCATTTCCAGTCCTCGGGATTCATGGAAAATTCCAGATTTAATAAATGTACCTTTAATTTCAAACAATAATTCGATCTTACCACATGCAAACCAAACAACATGGCTGCTATGCCTATGTATCAGTTTTTACCTCCCCTCGATTCCCATCACTTCCGTTACTTCCGTTACTATGGTTGTATTATTGAGCGGCAAATTTGAACTCATAAAAAGTAACGAAATTTTACACCCATAGTTATTTAATGATTTTAAAATTAAATTATAAGGAATGACTCTAATTCTTGGCCAAATTATTCGAGTATAACCTGGTTTGGGTCAGTTTACGCTGTTTTATAATCCGCGAAGCGGATTATAAAACAGCGTAAACTGACCCAAACCAGGTTATACTCGAATAATTTGGCCAAGAATTAGAGTCATTCCTAAAATAAAAAAAAATCTATTAAAAGTCTAAAGAAATTTTAGCGTTCAATATCTTTGCGTTTTATTGAACGCTGAGTTTGTATTACATGTACGTATACATGTATGAGTATGCCTGAAACATTCCGAATACAAGCGTTCACTATCGAACTCCCCGATGTACATTTGTAAACAAAAAATGTCGTCTGGTCAACCTCTCAAAGACAAAATGATAGTAGTGGCAGCTAGGTAAGATGTGTTTATTTTCATGCAAAATTGAAATTATTAATTAATAATTTAATTTTGTTTGTATTCTAGCCTCTGATTGGTTAATATCCAAAAAGGAACACAAATTATTTCTGTATAACCTGGTTTGGTATGGGGACACACCCCCCTGACAACCAGCTGAATCGTCTGTATCCATTCAATGCTCTCATTTCCAGTCCTCGGGATTCATGGAATATTCCAGATTTAATAAATGTACTTTTAGCTTCAAACAGTAACTCGGATCTTACCACATGCAAACAAAAAAACATGACTGCTAGGACTATGTATCAGTTTTTACCTCCCCTTGCTTCTCATCACTTCCGTTACTAGGGTTGTATTATTGAGCGGCAAATTTGAACTAATAAAAAGCAACGAAATTTTACACCCACAGTTGTTTAATGATTTTAAAATTAAATTATAAGGAATGACTCTAATTCTTGGCCAAATTATTCGAGTATAACCAGTTTACGCTGTTTTATAATCCGCTTCGCGGATTATAAAGCGTAAACTGACTCAAACCAGGTTATACTCGAATAATTTGGCCAAGAATTAGAGTCATTCCTAAAATAATTTATTACGTATTAGCCTCAATAATACCTCAATAAGCAGATCATAATGCTTGGTAGGGTCATTGTAGTCCGAAATATCTGACGTTTTCCTGGCTTTTTTACGATTTGATATTTTACGTGCCAGGAAAACGTCAGAACCGGCGCCATTACGAAAACTGGAAATTTCGCCGTCTGCAACCGGAGTTGATTTTCGATACTTGCGAACCGAATTCAATGTATCAATAGCACAATGCTTCTTAGTACTCACCAATATTGATGAAAAGAAAACATCACTACACATTTCGATACAGGAATTGCAAGATTTTAAAATGCACGACATGAAAACAAATCTCGACTGTCAGATAAAATGTTTTCATCGCGGATTGTATATTTTAAAAACGAGCCATAAAAATAATGTTGGTCAGTACTAAAAGTATTGTACTATTGATAAGTTGTGAGTTTGACATTTAATTTGGTTCGCAAGTTTCGAAAATCAACCTGATAATGCCGCCTCCGGTTGGAGGCGGCGAATTCAAAGTTTTCGTAACGGCGCCGGTTCTGACGTTTTCCTGGCACGTAAAATATCAAATCGTAAAAAAGCCAGGAAAATGTCAGATATTTTGGACTAGGGTCATTGGAATGCTCGATATTGAACACTTTCAGGACAGCCGTTAATTTAATAACCGATACTGAAAATTCTTGTTACTCCGAGTTATTTAGTTGAAATAATTAATCTAAATCAATGGGAAATGTTTTAGCTATATAATAAAGGAGTTATTGAACTTATATTGGTGAATATTGGAACTCGTTGACTGTACAAATGCACTCGCAAGCTACAAAATATGAAAAATTTGTATAAGAATATCGTTATGTATGAAGATGTTTACAGTAATAGAAAATGAAATCAAAATAAAATTTGCCCACCCGCCCCAATTTTTAAGCAAATCAGGAAAAAAAAATCTAACATTAAATTTATTAGAGCTACTTGATAACAGTATATAATTGATGAATCAACAAGAGTTAACAGTTTTATAAAACATTTATTTTACAGCATTGTTACATGAGAACAGTTTTTTGACTTTGCTCACGATCTTAGAAATATGACAACTGTAAAATTACATGCATACTATGTACGTAATGAATGAGGATAATGACAAACTTTCATAATCAAATTGTATGTTTTATTTGGGGAATGAACTATTTACTGGCTTAAAAACTGAACACACGTTTATACTGATTACGTTTATCCATTTTACTGTAAATTCCAATTTACAGTCATATACGTGACAGTATGCTTCTTTCTAATTTCGATATTCAGATACATATGGAGTAAACGTACTTTAAACCACTATACATGTACATCATTTTTTTTTACTAACTTAAACATTTTGCATCTTATCTAGCCTGTAAATTGTTCTTACTTGTTTAACTGCCATTTCATTTCGTGGTAATTTGAGGGAAAAGTACACAAGTTCAACATTAATTGATATTTATTTACATATTATTCAATTTTTTATGGCCAGGAGTGTTCAAAGAGAATTATACATGGCCTTGGCCTACTGAGCGTAATTATGGCAGACATTCATTAGCAACACAAACCACAGTCATTATCTGCGATCAGCGCGGTTTTGTTTTTACAATAGATGTGCAGCTTGAAACATCACTTCCTGAAACACTGATACCAACAATGGAGATAAGTAACAATGTATGTAGTAGAAAATAAATCTCTAATTACCATAATTTTCATAAAGAAAAAATAAAAATAATATCATTAAACTCTAATCACCATCATTTTCATAAAGAAAAAATAAAAATAAAATCATTACACGTGGCAAATAAATCAATGAATATGCACAATTCACGTAGTTATGTTGCTATAAGCGCCAGTCGTAAAAAATACTTTGTTTAAGAAAGTGCATATATTTCAAAAGAAAAAAATTTGATATGCTAAACTGTGAGGAAAGATTTTCTTTAATCTTGTGTCTTGTGTTTGAAATGTATCAAGTCAATCTAAACAGTGACCTTGAACTTTATGAATTTAATTAACATTTTCTTTTGATATAATCTTTATGAAAGCGAGAAGGGTTACATTCTGTCTCGAGCCTCTCCCTAACTATTTACCGAAAAACTGTAGCCTACTTCCACCTACATCGTTGAAAAATCCCAAACAGCGCAAAGGGCAAACAGGTGGTTCATTGCAAAAATATAATTAGTACGCTTACCGAACTTGCGTAATATAATTGCGCAAGTGTTGAGCAAAACATCACCCTTCCTTCGTAAATGATTTAAAACAGTGAAAATTCAACTGGAAATAAAACATATCAAAATAAATAACACTGAACTTTAAAGATGTCCTGAGTTAAACAAAATATACAGTCAAGCCCTAAAACTGCATTTTTTAACATTATAACAAAATAAACAACTCAGCTGTTGTTTCTTATGACCCTGTTGATCCAGTTGAGGTAATGAGTAACCTTAGTATATATACCATATTTTCCTTTCTGGCCGCAACCTTCCCCATAACTAGTTACTCCGTAAACAATCCATCGCTCTGTTCCATTCACGATTTTGGGGCATATAAGGGGACCACCACTGTCCCCTGCGCATGAGTCCACGCCTCCTTTTTTGAAGCCTGCGCAAATTTGTTTGTCGCCTATATTGTAATCGAAGGCTTTTCGACATTTTTTCTTACTAACAATTGGCACCTCCGCTTCACGAAGAGCTTCAGAACCCAACAGATGTGTATTTTTCTGCTTTCCCCAGCCCACGATAAAACAGCTTGTTCCATCAGCAAGTTCATCAGAGGGCTCCGGTAAGCATGCATACTGGACCATATGACTTATTTTTTCTGGTTTACGAAGCTTAAGAAGAGCTATGTCATTGGTTATTGTTTCGTAATCAAAATTGTTATGGGGAAAATCTTTTTCAAGCTTCATATCCATTTCATTTTTGTTGTCTACATTTATTTCATGTTCACCCACACGAACGATAACTCTGCGTTTCCGACCCCGACGCCTGATGCAATGAGCAGCAGTTAAAACCCAACCCGGGGCGATGAGGGTGCCACCGCAATATTGTTCCTTCCATTTCGTTAGAATGGCGACCTGTCAAAGATAGATAGCTTGTAATTTCTACTTCAATTCTTCAAAGATAAATTAACATGTCAGGTAGGTTCTGACGTTACAAATTATATTTCATTAAGCTAAAATATATCACTGGATCAAAGACGACTGATTAAATTGTTGCTTGGTGTAGGATAAATAAAATAAAACCCCACGAGTCAAATGTAAATTAAAAGATATACCCATCAGCAATACGTGATTGTAAAGTTAACAAAATGTCATAAATAACTCCTTCATTAATCGATCTTTTGATATTTGGAATTCTGTTAATGTAGTCCGGAAAAGCGCCGCGCCTGGTTTCTTCATTACTAACCTGCCAAGGCCAGCTGTGGGGGATGGCTTCTCTCCCCCCAACAATGCGGTATCCTCCTCGAGGCCGAACTCCGCAGATGCCCTTAGTGGCTACCAACAGAGGAGCTTTCCGATCGCGAGCTGAAAAATAAATCAAAATAACCCTAAAACTGAATTTACATGTACGTAAGAGATTCACGAGTGTATTCAGTGAAGAGTCCTTTTGATAAAAGGCTTCTTAATAGTAAATTGAATACATATAATATGTTTGTATTATCTGTTTTCTGCTTTCAAAATTCTTTTTTTCAAACATCTGTTTGAATACAAAATGCATGTGATACCAGCTAGTTTTCTTTCTCCCACTTCTCTCTCTCTCTCTCTCTCTCTCTCTCTCTCTCTCTCTATATATATATATACATGTATATATATTTATATTCATGTTTATTAAGGAAATAAAAACAAGTTTAGCTTTTAAAAAAAGCTTAGAGAGTCAGCCAGTGGATTTTTCTTTTTTCGTGATAATGTTTAAAAGCATTAGGAAACCGATATTTTGTGTATTAAAAAATAATTTCAGCATTATTTTTTATTAGCCGATTTGGCCAGTTGATCCAGTTTTTCAGAATGAGAGCGGAGAGTTTGGGGTTAAAACGATCCCATGCATGCAGGTTCTCGCATTATTTTGTGAATTAAATACAAAAACGAAAAGTTTCATTATTTATGTTCAACTTCTCATAGCATGATTCTATCAAAAGTCAGTAGCCGCTCCTATCGGGCTGATCTAGGATTTTATGAAAAGGGGGGAGGCGTATTCGCCAAAAAGACGAGGCAGCTCTCAAAACCCCTCTACACTAACCTCGCACCCAATTTACACTACTTTTGCTTTAATACATGACATTCCGTAGCCAGTTTTACAATTAACTTTCTATTTAATTTTTTTTTGAGACAACTTTCGTTGATTTTAAGACTTCCATAAGGCCGAATCCCCTGGACCACCACCCTTCTGGATCCGCCCTCTAATCTTGTCAAAGACGTTTACTCAAACTTTATTATTACATTATTATTTAGGGGAAAAGAGCGTTGAAGTATTCACGTCGGCATTTTCTTCCAGAAGGATCTTTGCAAACTTTATTAACGGGTGTTAGTGAAACTTGTAAAGAAAGTAAATTTAGCCCCGCTGTTCTTCACCATGCAGATTTTCCTCCTTGTAATACCTATTGTGGCCTCATCCTACCCCAGGGGGTCATGATTTGAAAAATTTAGAATCTACACTACCCTAGGATGCTTCCATGTAAGTTTCAGCTTTTCTGGCCCAGGGGTTCTTGAGAAGAATATATCAGAGGGCTTTTATATATATACATGTATATATCTTTCAATGTAAAAATTGGATTCCCTTTTGTGGCCCCATCCGACCTTTGGGATCATGATTTGAACAATTTAGATTCTTCACTCACCCAGGATGCTTCCACATAAGTTTCAGCTTTTCTGGCTCAGTAGTTCTTGAGAAGATTTTTTAATGACCCACCTTATTTTGTCTTTTCTTGATTGTCTTCCCTTATAAGGGGCTTGGCCCTTCATTTTAACAATTTTAACTCCCCTGTAGCTAAGGATGCTTTGTATCAAATTTGGTTAAAATTGGCCCAGTGGTTCTTGAGAAGAAGTTGAAAATGTGAAAAGTTTTCAGACGGACGGACAACTGGTGATCAGAAAAGTTCACTTGAGCTTTCAGCTCAGGTGAGCTAAAAAAAATGTAGCAGGCGAAGCCAGCTGTGTCTCTCTTTATCTATCCATTGCATGTCTTTACAAATCATATTGGCCAATTTGGTAATTAACATCGGGATCGAAATGCTTTAAATGAAAACGAAAGTAAAACCAATAAAAACTTAAAGGCTTCAAAATCTGAAATAATCCAATATTTATGCCGCAGAATTGAATACACGTTAAAAAAAATTAAGACACTTTTTAAAAGAGTTTCAACTGACGCGCCAAACACTGAGTAAAATGAATTTATACAATTTTACGCTTCATTGAGTAGAACACACGTTTTATGAATAGATCTATGCGGACCAGATAAATTACTGCAAACCAGATTATAAAACTGTTGAAATGCAAACTACAAAACCTCAATGTTAGCAGATTTTCCAAAGAAATCAGCACAAAACGCCTTACTGTGTTAACCTGTATTTACATGTTATTGGTATATGGTGTTAAAATAGTGATTTCGTTGTTTAATCAATATTGATTTTACTGAAACGAAATCAACAGGTGTGACTTACTCTAAGTCAACCTCCCAGAATCGCTTGGAACACCTCGGGCTTTTCACAGAAAAAGTGTGAAAGGCCCGAGGTTTTTCGGATGAGTCAACCTCCAAGAATCGCTTGTGCACCTTAGGTTTGCCAGTGTCAGAGTACCAGTCTACCTCCCAGAATTCCAGAACACGCAAGCGCATTTGAAGTTCTTCGTAAGATAACTAGTCAGCCCGCGGGCTGACTAATAACACGTAACCATGGTGTTACTTAGAACAAACGTGGCGCCTGAAGGTATTTCTGTAAAATTGCGACTTCTCCCATTCCAGGACAAAGTGATCCCCCATGATCTGCTGGCGACACAAAATCCATATGTTGTCCTTGAAGGTATATAATCACGACTTTGACATGTGTACCTTTGACAATTTGTCTCAAATCACTAATTTGAAATTTATGGTGCTTTCTGATTTCGAAAAGCGTTTCTAATTCTGTTCTCCCTAGACATAAAAACTCTAGAAACGGCCATGCAAGATTTTTAACGACACTATCAAACGTTATTACAAGATATAAAGTGGGTACGCGCAATGGGAGGTCTTCTTCACTATATAAACATTTGCAGTGCTTGCGTTGTCTAACTCTGGCTTGAAATCCCAAGGTTAATGATTGTATAAAATCGATAGTAATTTGCAGGAAGTCCACGAAAGTGACAAAATCAAAGAAATCGGGCTAAATATAGAACTATAACTTTTTTCGTCCTTCAGCTGGATAGTTTTGTTTAAATATAAAGAGCAAATCGGAAAGAAATCTAATAAGCCGTTCACTTAGAGAGAAAAGTGCAAAATAACATACTAAAACTGAATGTTCTCATTGAGATTTACAACAAAGAGATGCAGGGACTCATTCAATAGGGGAACAGGTGCTTGTTCCTGCCTTGGCAGATTTGCGAACAACCACTAAAAAAAAAAAGAAAAAAAACAACTCAAACTTAACGTCAGGTCTATTGTTCTTCAAAATGCTTTCCCATTTATTTCGCTCTCCGAATAGCACTCTTTTTTTATTATCACGTATAGATAACTTTAGTAATTTAAAACGAACAAAGGCATGAAAAAGAGCTAAAGATTATGACAACGTGTGTATTTATGTTGCCTTGTTGCTATTCCAAAAATGATAGCGATTCTTTCTACGAGAAATATTACTAATCAAGGCCATCTTTGTGACCTTGACTTTGCAATGTACTTTACGTAAAAGCTAATTGCATTGTCAAGAGGAATTATCGAATTAAGCATTGATTTGGCCTTCTGTTCAGTTTCTAGGGACGCACATATCACGATTGGAAGCATTGTGTATCCTTCCTGATCTCGATTAACCTATGGCACGGGAACTCTAGGATTAAAGCTGACACAAGCAGAACCTTGTGGATTTGTTTTAAGGAATAACAAGATTAGGGCGACTGAATACGTACAAGACAATCTTGTTAAGTTTAAGAGAACGGTTCAGATCGTGAAATTGTGTAACAAAACGGCTAGACTTGACACTTTTTGGGCATTGTAGTAGATACATAGATAACCCATATCCCAAGTTGCTTGGTTTTTGGTATTTGACCGATTTTCTCAGTTTGATAAATCTATTAAAGCTGACCATTTTATGTGCAATAATATTATTGTATTAAGTTATTTCCCTAACTATTTCTGATTTTAGAAATGAAGCAACATCTCGACAGATAACCGAGGAATGCATAAATTTTAATTTCTAGATGATTTATGAGCGGTGCCGAGTGCATAAAGCTTAAAAGAACCACGAAATTCAAGTGCAAGTCTTGACAATTTTGTATAAGTGAAAAGTGTCAATACATTGTATTAAAACAATCCAAAAACTAAAAGAGTTTCTTAAATTTTCGATCAGGAAAAAATATTTCAAAACTGCTTAATTCACTAAAAATCAAAATATCGTTCACGTACATGATGCCGGTATTAATGGAGCTTAAATAACGGTTTAAATTAATTTTTTTTTAACAGATCATTGGTAAGTAAGGCAGTACTACGATAAACGATCTAAATCTAGATCTACGAGATCTTTGAATTCTGTGTGTAGTACTAACGTACTGAACCTAAGATTCTGATAATGGCTATTCCACCATTGTTTTTCTTTGCTTTGTCATCTCCAGCACTTTTACACCGGTTGCGACATCGGCTTTTTTTGGTAACAACATTCCAAAGTCCTGAGTGCCCCCACAGGGTGTCTCGATCAATGAAATAAATCGAACCCGTCTGTGGATATCAATTATTTTATCGAAAGAAATTGTTTCAGAGATTAAGGTTCTATTGAGAAAGACCCCTTCAGCTGCAAGTATCCCACTTCTTTAACTCCATAACAACCTGTATTGGTTTATCGAGATTGTACTAACTACAATAGACACTCGTCTACAAATATATTACTCTCTTTAACAATACCTTAAGCAAATTATGAAATCCACATTCCATTGCCCGAGAAATTGATTTCCGTCGGTACAAGAATGTCACCTTTTTTTCCACGGGCAAAAAATGTACATATATGTAACTTTCAAAATAGATCTATTATCTTTTAATGACGTACACTTTACGATTGTAATAGCCAGAAAGGTATGAAAATATGAAAGATTAATCATATCATTGAGGAATAACATATCAATGATTTCTCTCACATTTGTTCCTGTCTTTTACGCTGGTTATGTATTTTCTCTGCAATAGCTGCGACATGAATTCCCGTACTAACAACCAAAGAAAACATTTTATTGTTTAAACTAACGTTACTCCTCCAAGAGGCACCTGGCCTGGAGGCTCTCAAACTCTGTGCTCAAACTCATGCTGTGTTCTCTAAAACCATACTCATACTCACATTTTTTTTATACATTTAGAATGGAATTTGAGCATGAGTATTGTTTTTGGAGTACGGAGTAAGAGTCTGAGCACAGAGTACGTACCCAAAAAGTTTTATAACAGGACGAAGTTAATAATAATTTAAATTGATGCAGAGCATCAAATCGGCCGCAAAAATACATGTATATTATTGAAAAAGCATGATGAGGTAGTCTTCCCCTTTAAAACTAAAACTCCAAGTCAAAGGCTGATTCTCACCGGTAGGACACAAGATCAAAGGTCAAGGTCATAGTCAATGATATCTTCAAATTATCATCTTCACTGAAAAATAAGTTATAAGAATAGGTTTTGTTTAAAAGAGATTTCAGTTACATGTAATAATGTAAAGCTCAAAAGAACAAACCCCTATATCAGGTTAAAGCCCTATATCAATCGTTTAGATGTACCTGTGTATGAAGTTCGAAGACACTGTGTTGCTTAGGTCACCCTAAGGAAGCTAAACACAACAGCTAATCAGATATCTTGACACATACAGACTGACGGACAGACATCACCAATCCATATATCTGGTTTTGCTTCGCAAACCAGCCAAACAAAGATATGGTAAACGTTTCTATGTGAAGTACTTTCATTGCCGAGGGAAAAAAATCCTACATAACTTAATGTAACTTGAAAATTATTACAATAAATTAAGATTACTTCGTAAAAGAAGGTTAAATTTGATAAATTTTAAACGAAGCCATCACAACTTAAAAACCGTTATAGCTATGATAAATGGAAGCAAATTTCGCTAATGTTGTAAGAAGGTTTCTAGTCTAAATCTGTCCAATAGTGATCTATGTTTGTTGCGTATAAAAGCATCTGACAGACAAGTTCATCCCTAATATAAATGTTCATTCCAATAAAACCTGAATTTGTTATGGCACAATATATATAGTATTATAGGCGTACGGATACTTTGTAGCTATTACATCAAAGTTGTACAGAGTGCGCGGCAAAGGACTGCCACAAATTAGGTCAAGTGGGTTTATAAGAACCACGTGATATTACACGGACAGACCCACTGACACATGTTTATATGAACAGTGTCTGACATGAATTTGTATACAGATGAAATGAGCAGCAAATTCAGCATCTATTAAGATCTGTTTACGATATGAACACGTTTGGTAGATATAATTACAATGTACCGAAGTGTATGATATCATAGTTTTTTTTCCAGACATATTCGTAATGTGTAAAAGTAATCTCTTACTTTTGAAAAACGGGCCCAACCTTTCCGAAATGCTAGGATATTGACAGAAGCTCTGAGGCTACAACGCTCACCAGGATATATATACCCCGAGTGAATGATTGAAATGTTTCCGCTACACAGGTACACATTCAGGCGAAAGATCTTATTTATTTTTGACAAATTATTTTAATAATTACATGTAAGCATTCCCAATGATTTTACATAACTGGATACATAAAATTGTATACAGATAGATCGGGCTTTCGTCTGCTCTGATACATGTAAAAAAAAAATTGTAGCAACAATGTTTATTTGCCTACTGATTTTAAAGATTTTACCATTTCCCTTGAACGTCGATAGAAACGCTAAATTATATTTATCTTCCATGCAATAATTTTATAAAGATTTTTTATCAACGAATCACAATTGAAAGCAGTGAAAATCGTTAGTATACTGAATTGGAAAATACACTCTTGTCAGTTGTAATTATACTTTATTAATCGATGTCTAATCGACGTGATATGTCTTTCTGGCCAGGGAATATGAAGTCAATCATAACTGTCGAAACTACTTCTTTTATTTGTGGATATAAATTCAATTATCCACATAAACAGAAAGTGGTATCATGACTTTTTTCCAAAGAAGTGCACTTAATGGAAACAATTAAAGCATTCCTTAAGCTCGTTTATTCAACATTACGTGTTATTGTTGCTCGTCAGATGATAGCCTTTTGTTTTGGCCACAAGACTTAAATCTGTAAGAAGGACATCCGAAATTTGATTTTTTTAAACAGTTTAATTATTTTATTTTGAGTCATTGATGGGGATAATTCAATGAAATAGAAATAAATCAGGAAAGTGATAGAAGTTCTTTAGCTGACAATCTTTTTTTTTTTTAATATTTACTCCAATTATTTAGTTATTCATAACTGTTCTATTTTTTCCATTACTGTTTGTTTTAAAAATACAGAAAGAATTTGTAAATATTTAATTAATTTTCAAACTAAAAATTTCTCTAAATTTTTAGACCCTAATTGCGAGTGCACGTGCACTCTCATCTGCATGTAAGAGCATCGCATAATTAAATGCTCTTTATTTATTTACTTTTACGGACAGAATATGTTTGCAGTTTACATGTTCAGCGAAGCAACGAAAGCACAAATAATATTGAATACTCTCACTTTTGCAATATATTCTCTCTCTCTCTCTCTATGCCGTCTTTTATAGATGTTTGGTTATCCTCTTCAAAAGAAAATTTAATAATTAAAATAGATTTTACATAACAAAGAAATTATATGTTATGAAAACAAACTTCTTTAATTATTCAGTGGCCACGTGTATTTTGGAATTACGGTCTAGTCCCGCTGTTACGGTATGCGTGATTTAGAGCCACCGGGACAATTGTACTAAAGATATGAATATAAATTTCATTTAAGAGATAGCTATATATATAGAATTGCATCAACTAAATGATTATCGAGTTTGTGAAATAAAGTAGAGAGGATCCTGTATGAAAATTAACTAAATTCTCAAAAAGTGCGAAAAGGTGAAGATCAGCTTTTTGATGGCTACAAAATTGATTTAGGTTAGTGATAAGACCGCAGTTAATTGGACATCATTAAAATTCCCGACATGCAATTGATCTCTTACCCGACTCCCGAGGTGATAGTTCACTGACTGAAGGCGAGTGTGTGTCTGGTTCAAAAGTGTTAAATGTGTACTTTTTACCGCAGACTGTCCCCGCTAAACGACACTTCCGTTCCTCCTGTATGTAACTGTTACCACAAATTTTGTGTTCTTTACACTTGCGAAATCTCCTTTTGCGACAAGAGCGAGTGCAGTGTCCCCATTGCGACCATCCATCGTACAGTAAATCGTATAACAGTTCCTCTATTAACCTGTTTCCACGGCGAAATCCTATCACTTTATAGGATAATGTGGAACATCTTCCTTTGCGTCTCTTGCAATTTTGCTTTTCTTTGAGAACACTGGTTCCGCAGTTTTCTGGCTGGTTACATCTTCTTACTCGCGTCTGCTCACACTTCCGGTTGCAACGCGTCCAATCTGACCACTGCGTGTAGTACTCGCACAGAATCTTATTTTCACGGTCTTTGGAAAGTATCCCTGGTTTTGATGAAACGCTGTATGTTGAGTTTCTTGATTCTAATTTTCTACTCTTTTTCTGCAAAGAAAAATTCAAATATATTTCTGCTGGATCATCTTATACTAGTATATTGTTACAATCCTCTGAAATTTTAAGTTTTGCGTTAGATGTTTCGATATGAATATTTAAAATATTGATTCAAGGTTTGTAATACATCTCTTTCGAGAAAATTTTATCAAAGATTCATATTTAATATAAGTAACATGCAACACATAATTGACAATTTCATAAAAAAGGATAGTAACGATAAAGTAACGTGAATGAAATATTGTTTATTTTATCGTATATTCTTTTTTTCAATAATATGATTTTTATTCTAAAAATTATATCTTTATTTCAATCTTTTGATAGAAAGAGAACATAAAAATATACTAGTAAGAAAGAAGAGGACGAACAAGGAGAGTGCAATGAAAGTGAAAAAATTAAATCTCAATCCCAATCATAACAAAATTTTCTGTAATATTTCATCTAACATAAAAGTATACTTTACGTAAAATCTCAACAATGCCCAAAATTTTCACAAAGATTTATCTTATTTGCCTATAAAATAGCATGCACACACTATATAAAGAGGGCAAAAAGGATCATTTTCTCATATAACAATATTTTTCTATATGAGTGGGTCTTTGCTCCATATGCATTTTTTTTAAAGTTTATCCTCAAGGTATGTGTAAAAATATACATGTTTCGGTTAACAAAAAACATGGAAAAGACCCACTATCATATTTCAATGATAACAAATTTACTCTAAATATTAAATTAATTCACAAATTGAATGTGATTTTTATACATCGCCCATCAGCCGAGGACAATAAATTGGTTGCCGGAGCTAATAAATTGTGATTTGTTTTTAACCTCACACATTTAAAAACTTTTCTAGGTGTGTTCTAAAGCTTAATTTGAAATAACGCAAATAACAACAAGATAGACGATTTCCGAGATGTATTTGGGCCAGGTAGTAAAATCACCACCCTAAAATCAAGGTTTGTGAAAGAATGCTCAAAGTCAAAGTAGCATACTTAGGTGACACAGAAGCTCTCCAACAAAGATTTGTAAAGAGGGATTTAGAGTGACTTTCCACCTTAACAGAAAATAATTACCTTCATTTTCTCTCCTGGTACCTTTAACTTAAGGGTATGAATGTATGAATCGCATGGACTTAAACACTTTCAAGGTAAAAATTAGATTATTGACGATATAACCTCGGGTTCGTTTAGGGCAGGGCGATCATACAAATCTGTAGATTGAAGGGTCCATACATTGGCGACACATAAGAATAAACTGATACTTTAAGGATGTGGCTTTCTTTATGGGGTATTTCATATATTGGTAATGCAGGGTAATGGTAAATGCTTACTATTATCCGTTAGATTGGGTTTCTGTAATTTTTGTGACAGCCTGGATAAACGTGGCGTTACCCGTTAAAATATGTTGCCCCTAGGGTAGATCTCTTATCCCATTCTGATGTCAAAGATTTCTCATCTCTAGCTTTGCGAGAAGTGCCGCACCACAGAAGCAGGTGTCCCGATATCTATTTTATCAATCTAATATAAATGTTTAAAATGTTTCGTTCTCCTAATTTTTTTTGTTATAAATTTAAATATGACCGATTTTCTGTACAAAATGCCACCAACTGCAGGAAACAAATGCTAAAAGTAAACACTTTCGTAAAGGTAATCATTACAGAGTCGACCTTCAACTGTATGTAATTCTCAGATTTGACTTCTTCAAACAGCCGTATTTCCTAAACGAATTTCCTCGTCTGCGAGAACACCTGAGGTGGCTTCGTAAACACTCAGGGGTCTGTACAACATTTATATCAGACGTACACATGCTTGTTTATATTAATATGCAGTCTGTGTGTTCACCAAAGTATCAATGAAGACAGAGGAATCCACTTTTTAACTGTGAACTTTATTTCTTGCTGCACTTACATTGCTTGCTCTAGTTATGTCTCTTAGAATTGTGTCAGATAAACAAAGACATGCATTCTGCTTTTCTTTTTTCATACATAGCAAGAGAAAAAGGAACAAAACTATGCCAAACTTGTGTCATGTTAAGATTTCCCCAAAGCCATTACTTGTTAAACTCATCTTGATGCCCATCCTTGTGTGCGAAGAGAAAACACAGATTTTGTAGACAGAAACATAATAGAAATAGAAAAGAATTACTCAAATTAGAAAAAAGATAAATGCTGTTTTCAGCTTGCATTATTTAGCTAGGGTCATTGCAAGAGGAAATAATAACTTTGAATGATACTGCGAGCGTGCTACATTTCATCCTAATTTAATTTACTATGTTTAGAATTGAAAGCATTGTTACAATTTATTATTTAGTTGTTGGTTTGTTTTTTTTTTTTTTTTTTTTTTTTTTTTTGTTATTATCCTGCATTAGAAAATCAATTTGGTCATTATTTCCACTGCTTTTTTTGTGACGAATTGGGGAAAACAGTTACTGTAGTTATTTCAATCAGATAGAATTAAATGAGTAAGGTACATACCCTTTTCCCGTTTACAATTGACAATTCCGACGTGAAAACAACAATCATAATAATTAAAGAAACATGGATGATCCTGGTCATTTTCACGCTATGTCAACAAATATGTTCAAAGAAGTCTTAAGAAATGTCGAAATTTTCAGTCTAAGTCGTACACATCCTGATAAATATTCAAAACCTGAATTAATTTAATATATGGACACAGACAGGCATAGAGGGAGTTTTCTCTGAGCGAGCAACCAATATAACTATCCTGCAGGTCTATATTTTTCATAAAATGCGCCGTGCCAGCACGTGCGTCGCACGCCGACCATGTGACGTCGTCAGTTCAAACTTCAACGATTGTTATAAAAAGCCATTCACACCGAAGAACACGTCAGATGGATATAAAGTATTTTCTCACTCTTTATGATGATAGCTTGATGTGGTTCCATACTAATGGTAATGATATCACAAACATTCCCAAATTAACTTCATCCGAAATTCAATACAAAAATATTTGCTATATGTTCTCTCGGTCTTTGACATTAATAATAAACGCTGCACAATTTTTCGGCACGCTAAGAAGCTGTTGGGTTGTTTACATTATAGCAGAAGACAAGAAGTCTTCCTTCCTTTGCGTCTGATAAGTGTCTTCAATGAGTCTGTTCCGCGTAAAGCCGCCTGTGACTGGACGGTACCGATAGAAGTGTGTCCACCTGCTGAATCGAGCGACTCAGGCGCGCAAAAAATCGCCGTGTATACAGAAAAATTCACCCTGCGAATAATTTTAACATCAATATGACACTCGCATTGATAACTTTAAATTTGTCAATAATGTAAGTTCTCCTTCAGGAGATAACCAACCATTTGAGGTGTACGGTTAATCGGGCTTTATCCATGAAAATTTAATTTAAATAGTGCTACATTTCTCTAGGCTATATTTGTGATACTCAGATAGGGTTATAAAAAATTAACGACTTTTGCAGGTTGTCAAAGTTTAATATAATAATAGCACAGATTATTCAACAAAGGTGTCAGTAAATTTCCTTTAACATTGAAATCTATGTAAAGTATTCGGTAATATTATGGATATGGAAGAGAAATCAAATTGGTAGAATGGAGGAAAGGTATGATTGGAATAATGTACGGCCATGCACATCTAGATGCTGATTACGTACTGCTATTTTTTATTTAATCTACGTCTTATAAGATATAACTTAAGAACATATAAATATTCTAATTTTAAAATTACTTTCAAACATACCTGACAAATAGTTGTTTTGTGCTTAGACAATTATGAATTAAGCTAAAACATATCAAAGGAAATCTTTGCCATGTAAAAATCACAATTTATTGACAAATCAATCATCTTAATTTAACATCTTTAAAGATTTTTGGAGTACATGCAGATACCGGTAAGCGCCCTTCATAATTATCCATAAGCGTGTCTCTATTTTCGGAATGTCCCAATTAAGAAACATCAACGGGGACGTGGAATAGTTGTTCGGTTAAGTAGTTTAAATTTTCAAATTGAAAAGGAAATCTCTTGATTAACACTAAATTTAGATAAGGAAGAATGTAGAAGATCAGCAATTATGTTTTTGTTATTCGGTTAAGAGGTTTGCATTAAATTTTAAATGGGAAAACAGATTTAACCTTAAAACTTCTGTAAAATCTCCATATTTACAAAGTAGTTCAGGAGAACAAGATGGGTGGGTTTTTGATTTATACAGGCTCATAACTAAACCCTACTGAACACTGATGTTCACAAAAAGAAACTGCATATTGAAACCCAAGTAAATTGTATTCATATAATAGAATTCATAAAGGAAGTCATAAACAGGCTCCCATCTCTTGTTCACTGCTAAAATGAGAAGTGTTGATACTTCATATGCCAAAACTGTTCAACAGTTGATGAAAGGTCGCAAAGTTCGATAGCATTTCTAATATTTATGGGAGCCTGGAGTAAGATATTTCCTTTAGTCTAGTGTACGTCAAGCTCCGTGCATACTTGTTATATATAGCAATTATCATCTCAGTTTAGCAAATATCTTATATAAAAGAAAACCCCACTGTATAATAGATCGTCTAAGAAACTAAAATCCCTAATCACAGCAGGATTGTAAAGTTGGCAATAAATGTCCTGTTATCTCAGGAAGACTCGTAGACTTAGTATCACGACACTCAGCCTGCGACGTATTCAGTTTCAAAGTGTTTGCAGAAAGACTGCAAGAAATCTTTTATAAATGTATTAAATTTTCATTCGCTAAAGTCATGAACTACTTTAATAGAAGACATCAGCGGTTCTGTTAACAAAAAAACAAGAGAGAGAGAGAGAAAGGCATATCAATTTTATGTGAAAGCGGACAAAGGAATTAATACTGAAAAGAAATCGAATTACGAATTGATAATAATGACAATGATAGACAAAAAGCCTTGAGATCCAACTTCGTAAAGAAACCACACGTGATATAAATCTGTTTCCTTACAGCATTTCGATATTATCTTTAACATTGGCGCTTCTGTCAAATTAATTGCATGATAACTGACACTTTTTATTTAAGTTAAAAGTTGAGTATTGAAAACAAAATGAAACCGAAAAAAGGAGAGGATACGAGCGAAGAATACGATTTAAAGAAAAAAAAAGACCAAATACTGTACATCATGCACTACACCAACTAAAAAAATCAGTTTTAAACTCGACTAAAATAGGTTAGACTCCATAGTACAACACTTTTTAACCGGTTAGCATATTCGCTAAACGCTTTTTGTCATGCTAAACAAGGTCTTAGGCAACCGGATTCTTCATCAAAGCGTTACCTATGATCTGTTTATATTGAGTAGCCTTCGCAACTTCTCGGGCCTCTCTGACCTCTGACAGCTAAATCACCGATATGATCACTCGACTTGAATTGGGGGGGGGGGGGTGTTACCTGGAGAGTCTAAACTTTTTTTTTACACACAATTATATACGATCACAATATTTTAATATTTAAAAGGAAATATTTATGGGAAACTAAGAATAGTAAGTTTAAAAAATAATTGAGAAAGCTTATGAAAATTTTATTCGGCATCATTCTCTTCTAAAATTCATCGAACTTTGAAAAATATGCAAAGATTCAGCAATGAAAATTGTCAAAAGCCTGAAAAAATATCAACGAAATGTGACATAAAAATCGACAATTAACAAAAATCTTAGAAGACAACTAAAACTTGATCGAACACTTGTTAAATATATTATGAAAAATATTTAAGTTGTAAACATACATAAAAAATGTCAAAATTATTAATTATGATCTTTATTTTCAGCATGCATTTGAGAAGATATAAAAAATGACAATTACCCAGTACTTGTATAAGCATATTGATAAGTATTATTAATCAAAAATATCAATGGCAATTGCTTATAGCAGAAATAATGATTTGAATATCGAGGGTTACTGGCAATGTTTGCAATAGAGGAATAATCTAAGTGTCAAAACAATGACTTTAAGACTTAAATAATTAACTTTAAAATTGCATTATGACGTCGACATCAAAAATCACAGAAAAAAGGATATTGTGCATGTTTTTTTATCTGATTGGCAATTGAAAAGTTTGAACTTCTTATAAATAATAAAAATATATGTAAGTTATTTACAGTGTAATAAATACAAGTTCTTGAAATCAAGTTTGAATTAAAATTCATCAAGTTTAGTTTTGAAGGGGTGGAGAGCGTGTTTATGAAAATAGTTGCACAAGTTTTGCGTTGCATTTCTATTTTTAAAAACCCCAAAAGTAATGGTAATGGTAATGCATTACTTTACTAAAGTAATGGTAATGTAATACAGTACTTTAAGAAAGTAGAGTAATGGTAATTACAAATTCTAGAGTTATAGTAATGTAATGCATTACTTTACAAGTAATTCGCCCCAAGACTGCTTTAAGTATACATGAAATGTCGTAGATACTCAGTAGTAGTTAGATTAGACAACAAGTTAAGTTTCCATTGCAGAAGATCAAGTTCTATTTTTGTTGTTCAAATTTCTCAAGAATTCTATAGAGTTTGATTGAATATGTTCCTATAAATGAAACATTTTTACAGAACTATTTGTTATTCTATAAACGATAATTTTCCTTTTAAGTTTCAGAAGTATTCAATCTAATCAATATAAGATCTTCCTAGATTCGCATAGAGTGTGTACAGCGTGGGTCTAAGATCTGATTTCAATTAGATTGCAGAGATATATTTATTCTATTTTCTATTAAATATACAAAGAATGGCAATAAACACACGTTTTCTCTTAAATCAAGAGTATTACTCAATACCTACATCGATATCCCTATACATGTATCATAATGTTCAAGACTCTGTGTTTATGATTGTCATATTTTTCCTTTTATACTAGTACTCATTTATACATTTAAATTGATTAACATTGAACATTTCTTGAAACTTGATTACCTCGTTTACTTGTCCGTCTTCCAGTAAGGAAGGCAACAGATAATTTTGAACGGAAGTACTCAATTTCTCGAAAATACACAATACCTACTTTCAACTTGAACATTTAATTGTTTAAATAAACACTCTAGAAGTTTGGTTTACTAGAAAACATAGGGTAAGAGTTTTACTTCTGATCCCTTAAGTTTACCCATTCTCCAAATCCATAACAATTAAGATTGAAAGAAATTAATAGGTTTTTTTTATGTCAGAGATTATATAGGTCATGACAGATAGATGTGCTACATCAACTTTTTTACGTCATCGGTACTTCCGGTCACCACCAGTGGATTCCAAAAATAACATTTTTGTCTTTCACAGGAAATCACTATTTGATAATTTTTTTGAACACTCATTTATATATATATATATATATATATATATATATATATATATATATATATATATATATATATATATATATATATATATATATATATATATCACAAAGAAATCACCTTTTAATAAGGATACCCACTTCCGCCAAACCCGGGGTTGAACTCTCGACCTACGGAATCTGTCTCCTAGCAGTACAGGTACAGCGTGCTAGACCGCTCGGCCATCTAGGCAAGTCTACAAGTCTAAAAACTTGCTTTAGATGAGTCTACAAGTCTAAAAACTTGGTTTAGATGCCGATGGAATTCTCGCGGCGCTGTCCTATACCACACGTATATATATATATATATATATATATATGTATGTATGTATGTATGTATATATATACCAGTATATGATTTCTTCGTGTTGTTATTGGCTCTTTCATTTAGAAAAATTCTACAATTTTACAATTTTCAGTATTTCTGCTTCTTGACTGATGTCATCGAACATAACTCTAAACTCTACAGTACTTTAATATCATCATTTCGTACACATTCCCAGATGGAAGCATGCTAACCACTTTTCAGTATACATGTATGTGCTTTTAGTACTTGGATTTTTGTCTGTTGTGCAATTGATTTATGAAAATATATTCAAAGAAGGTAAACAAATACTACTACAATGTTTTAGCGAAAATCAACACAGAGCTGAAATTACGTTTTACATGTAAACAGAAGTTTACGAAAATGTATAACGAATGAGTATCATTTGACTCATTTCATGCACGTGCTTCATTTTTCTTTCGAAAATCTCACTCTTAAACATAATTCAGCTGTTATTTCAG